CTGTTTTTTGGAAGACATCCAATCATGTCCCAGGCCAATGGAAGGGTACAACTGAGTCATAGGGATCCTAGAGCAAACATGTCCTTGCTCTCGCTATGCAAGGCTGACCATTGCAGGACTAGAAACTAAACTCTGCAGCTACTGAAACTGGTATTGGTACCAGTTCCACTTTTGCAGCTTAGAAACAAAAGTAACCGGAGTGTGTTTCACTGAACATCTGCAGGCTCCAGGGAAGGCTTTGTTAATCAAATTTTTAAGTCTGTTCAGCTTGGGGGCAGGTGGTTGTGCAGAAATTAAGTGGAAAAACAGAGGAAAGAAACCTCACATGATCTCAAATGGGCTTTTTTAAGTAACTATCACAAGTCCTGATGTGTCTTTCTACATTAGTGGTATAAAAAGTTACCTAACTTGCCAAAGACAAGTGCAAAAGAAGGAAGGAAAGCATTCCCTATTTTATTATATTTCAATATCTTCTACTTAGTCTTATACAGTTGGTTTTTGTGTTGGTTTGTGTTCTCTTGGTAAGTGTTTTCAACATACACATGAAATAACACAATGCCAAACATATGGATTTTGCTAGCCTCTCTCTTCAGCTACAACACTTATAACACTGGCAGACCAGTATTCCATTTATTAACTAATAATCTACAATAACATAATTGTACCTTCCCTACCAACCGTTTCTAAATAGAAAAACAAAAGCCAAAAAAAGCCCATGTTTAATCACCATTGCCCTCTGGAGCCAGAGTGTCTGGCATTCTTGGCATTGCACTTAATGCAAGATCCATTCATTCATTACATCAGGAATGCCATTTCCAGTGCCATAAGTGTTAATCCATTTATAGACATCTTGGATTAATATAATCTCTCTGAAGTTGAGAACAATATTTCAAATACAGTTCACAGAGATACTATTTTACAGGACAGAGAGACTCATTTTATAAAACACAACACATCAAAACAGCTTTGTAACAATGCTAGAAATAAAATACTTCGACATAAAAGTAGTCAATTCCTAGGGAAACAAACATTCAGTGCAGAGGCATGGAAGCACTCACCACAAAACACCAAGAAAAATAAAGGTCACTTAATTTACACTTCCAGTCAAATTTCAGATGAAACAGCAATGAAAGAATCAGGCAGCCTCTCGGTATTTCAGTGCACAGCTTCAGCAGCAAGGACTCCTGGAACCCCACTAACATTTTTCTGGTACATAAATCAAAGTATCGTCTCAATCTGACATTTTTTACCTGAATGTTGAAAATGCAAGCAATCCGGATTGCACATCGTATACCCTCCAAACAAAGAGAGGCAACTTCGGTGTCATCACAGTCCTGTAGACCCACACTGAACGCAGCCAGGAAAGGTGTCCATGCCAACTGGAATGTATGCAAAGTAAGTGTTTTATTAGCAATTGTTGGTACTTGAAGGGAATGCTTAATTTCACCATCTTGCTGCAGTGTAAATTCCATTCTTAACTTACATAATCAACTTTGAAGCTGTCTTTTGACAAAAAGGAAACAGAATATACAGACATGAGACACATAATAGTATAGTGTGGTTAGAAGACACATGAGACATAGACTGAGGTAGAAGTAATGTAGAGCAGAGCTCCCCTCAAAAACACTTGTCCTCTCCCTCAGCAACAAACATACAGCCAGCTTCAAACAGTTGTAAAAACCAAACCCTAAAGCTATGTCAATTAGGTTTCTTGCACAGTTTTAGCATTTCCAGGATGACTTTTATCTTTGCACACTGAAAAACAGAGTAAACAGTTACTGTGATAACCAACTCACCATATAACAGATTTATGATGAGAAGTACATATTTAAGTAAGACTAGCTTATCCCAAAAACACCAGAAAAAAAAAAAAAGGAAGGTAGTGAAAGTAAGGCAGACTTTATTAATCACACTAAAATTATGGTAAGCCAACAACAACAAAAATCTAGGACATGACCGTTGCCTTATCTCTCTACTACTCATTTTGTTGCCCTTATCTCGCCATCTTTTTGTACCTAAGCCACTATTGATGTTTCCCACTGCTCTTGCCTTAGGTGGCACTGAGGTTGCAATAAAATAATAATAAACTAAAATTACTGCAAGAGAGTCTACATAGTCCTTCCCTTGTGGTCAAGGCTCCCTCTCCCAAAGGCAGAAAAAACCAGAACCATAGCTGCGGTAGCTGCATGGGATTATGGAGAGGAAACACCACAGAACCCAGAATGATTTCAGAAATAGTTTTACCTGAAGTCACCCCAGATGAAATACAGAGTCAATGGGCACAGCAAGGAGCAATAGATTTCATACTTAATTTCATAATAAAATGATGCATCACAGAGCTTTAGTTTCATTTAAACCAGCAACTCCAAAAGCACTACCTTCAAAGAGCATTTAAAGCTTGCATATACCAAACCATAACTGTGGGATAGTGTTGAAGGCATCGGATGAATTCACAGATTCAGGATTTCATTCCTTATTGTATGAGCTTTAAAGGTCCCTTCTAACCTAAACTATTCTATCATTTTTTGATCAGAAATGTAAGCTTTTTCCCCCTGCCTTCCTAAGTTTCACTGCTATTGAAACTTAAGTTTCACTGCTATTGAAACTTACCTTAACAATCTTAAAAAATCAGAAAACTGAAATAATTTCTTAAGAACTATCTGATGGTCTCTATATTGTGCTTTGTAACTAGATATATGCTGTTATTAGTGGGCTGTTTTGTTCTTACAGGTGAAAGTCAAGTCTCAAAACCAGACAATCAATTTTGGACTGCTTAGATAGTTGCATAAAGTGAATTTTTGCTGTTTTAAAAATTTAGCCAATGTATCTGTTCAATAGATTACACCACTGTCCTCAGTACTTTAATTAGTTCATGAACATCTCCAAGTGACCTCAAGTGACAACTTCAAATTTTTTGCACCTTCATGAAACACGTTTGGGGTGTTAAATTAATCAGGGTGCTTCACATTTTGCTCCTTTGGAAATGAACTTTGGAAATACACTTTTTGGATAGGGTAGGAAGTATTAGGGCTGGTATCTTGAAGAAAATCACACTAAGAATTTTACAGAAGCCTGCATGTGAATTATTTAATTTCAACCTTCAGGAAGTCATCAGAGAGAAAGTATAGTACATCTCTGCTATGTGACATTTTGAACAGCCTAAAAGTAAATTTTTAACAAGGTCTGTGCTTAGTGTTCCTCCATACAAATCAAATACTATGCTAGTTTTTTTGATAAGGTGACAAAGAACTCATAAGTTTGCCTCAAAGACAGCAATCTTAAAATGATCCTCAATGTGCCCAGGAGACCAAGAAGGCCAATGGCATCCTGGCTTGTGTCAGCAAGTGTGGCCAGCAGAACCAGGGCAGTGCTCTGTCCTCAGCACTGGTGAGGCCACACTTTGAAGTCTGTGTTCAGTTCTGGGCTCTCACTGCAAGCAAGACATGGAGGTGCTGGAGTGAGTCCAGAGAAAGGCAATGGAGCTGGTGAAAGAGGTGGGAGTTGCTCTCTTCTCCCAAGTAACAAGGGAAAGGATGAGTGCAAGGGGCCTCAAGTGGCACCAGGAGTTGAGCATTAGGAAAAATTCCTTCACAGATGCAGTTGACAAAAGCTGGAACAAGCTGCCTAAGGAAGCAGTACAGGCACCAACCCTGGAAGCATTTAACAGACATGCAGATGTGGCACTTCAGGTCACAGTTTAGTGGTGGACTAGGCAAGACTGGGTTAATAGCAGGACTGGGTTAATAGCAGGACTCAAAGCTTTTAAGAGTCTATTTCAACCTAAATGTTTCTGTGATTCTTGGGCCTGGAGCTCCACCAAACCTCATAGCACATCCCTCCAGGGAGCCATCTGTTTATTCAGTGGTAGTGGTCTGGGACTTTACCTACCTGGAGCAGTTCACAAAGGGGTCATGTGAGGACCATGACTTGAACAAGTGCACAAGGGGGAGTACGGTAAAGCCATAACAATTTATCTCAATGGCAGATGACTGCTGTGAGTTAGGTATGCCAGAGACCACATCCAAGAGCACACTGAGGCATTGTATGCTACTGATCATACTCTAGCTATGAATCTGAATCACTGCTATGGAAAAGGCATTTGGGATGCAGACAGCTTTGCACTTACACAATAGGAGACAGGTGCTCAGAATAATAGTTTAATACAGGTCCAGCTTCCTCCCCTACACTGGACCAGAATCCTAGCTTTCTAAAGTATTAATTTGCAACAGACATTAGATAAAAGCTTTTCCTGATAATTGCTCCATTGCTTTAACATGCTTCTTCTATCAGCACAGAAACTTCTTAAATTCCAGGGTAAGTGAAACTAGATTAGAAGGCTCAAAATCCTCTTTCCTGTAGCAAGTTAAATAACTCACAAAATGAGAAAAACACAGCAGATGCAAATCCTTAGTATTTTCAATAAATCCTGACAGCATTTTGTATTAAGAAACTGTGATATTCTACATGATTATGTAAACATGTATCTCACCTTAAACATGGGTCTCACATGCTCCAGGTGTGTTGCACTAGTAAAAGGGGCCTGAACGTGGCTCACTGCCTCCATAAGAGCTTTAGCTGTTTTAGCCATTTGCTCCATTTCCAAGTTATATAGGAGTCTCCTCTGCTTCTCACTAGCAACACCTGCAAAGACAGTTTTTCTCTCATTTGTGCATCTTTAGCAATGCTGTCTGCAGGAATATAGTAATTTTACATTTTTCATTAAGTACAATACTCAGATGCATTTTATATTATCTTTACTTTCTGAAATGATCACATCAGCCTTCTCGTATTTCTTTTACAATATAGATGAAATTTAACTTAAGGCAAACTTGTGTTTGAAATGAAAACTATTTTTAAACCTTTATAGAATTATAAGATTTTAACAACAGAGATTTCTTCTCCATCACCTCAATTAACAGCATAAATATCACACCCACTAAGCTAAATTCAAAAGGAAGAGATATTTCACAGGAATCCATCAGCAGAGAAAATAACAGTAAAAATAACTGGACACCCTTTTTCAGTGCAAGAACTACATTAAACCTTTGCAGTTCCCTAAGAGAACCTCCATCTCATGAAGACAGTTAAATCCAAGTAGCATGTAATAATCATCTTTTTAAAAATGACAATAAAACATTATGTTAAGTGAATGAATACTGAAAACAAGAGTATTTCTTTTTTCCCAGATGCAAATCTCCTGCAAGTAATCCATTCATAAGGCTATTCTAGGACTTAAATTATACAAATATAATGGGATAAAGTTAAGTCTCTCAATGTTCTCTGTAGAAAAGGTAGAGTGAGTAACATCTCGATCTTCACACTGTGCAAAACACAAAGTTTTTCTGGTATCTGAGAGAGGAAAAGATAATAAAGTGCACAAATTAGGGCCCTAAGAATCAAATATTGCAAAATACTTGAAGACAGATTGGTTATTGTAGGAAATCACAACAGTTACTTAAGAAACAGAAAACACACACACACAGCATGTGTGTTGTCCTGCTCTGTACCTATTAGCAACTGCTACTCAACAGCAAAACCTGCCCCCTTCATGGTCAATGCACTGATTGCCAGGAATTCAGATGAAAAGGGAAATGAAAATAAGCAGTTGTATTTAATACAGATTTGAGGCCAGCATCATGCATTTATGTTAAAAATAAAAGGATATGAAATTAGAAACTAAGACCCACTGTGAGTTAAGTAAGTGGTGTTTGCTTCATTCAACTCTTGTTTTAAAACAGGGGACTTAATGAAACTGAAGAGCCAACCCTTGAAGAAAGCTAACAATGCCACTACTTACTTTGTTTACTCGATTTTGTGGGTATTGTTAATTCTTTTGTTTCTTTCATTGAAATCTTCTTTCCAGCTATTTCATTATAGATAGCAGACAAATATTCTTCAGGGAGATCTTTACTGTCATTGATACCTCTATTCATTTTAATATACTGTTCTTTTGTCATTTTGTTCTTAACCTGAAATGCAGAAAGTAGCTGTAAATATCAACAAATGAGGCAAGCTCGTAAGTTACAATGCTCCCTATAAAACTGCCCAGCCCACAAAAAGTTACTATCAAGGATAAACCTGTTGATTCAGAAGACATTTTAAAGTATTCAACACATCTGAGACTACACTGTCAAATCCACAATATTATATACAATATACCATAAAGCCATGAGGACATTCTAACACTCAAACATTTGGTAGGATCCACAGATCAAATGTATATCAAATTAGACATACATTGAAAAGAACAAAAATACATTAATAAAATGCTTTTTCTTGTCATACAGACCAAGCTATCGATCATATCAGCAGAGATCTACGTTACAGAAAGGCCTAATCAAAAAAATTTCAAACCCTCAACACCCATGAAACATAATATTGTTACTTAAAAGACGCACGGATGTAACACTACCTTACTTCTTACGCTCATACTGGTGTTAAATTGGACATCAAGCATTTACAACTACATTGTCACAAAGCCTGAAAGTCACATGCCTTACATGAAAGTCACATGAATTACACAGATAATTATTCCAGCAACATACCTGTGGACTGTGAAGATCTGTTGTCAACATGATAATTGAGTAAGCTAAAACATATGCAGTATCTGCACTAGCAAAAAGAGTTTGCCTGAAGGCAAAAAGGAGAGAAAGAATAGAAAATTTAATTTACTAGGATTTATCACTAATTACTCAGCTTTCAAAGTTCTGAAGAAGAACTATACCTTACCCTTGGTTACATTCTAAATATCTAGCAGCAAATTTCTCCATTAAGCGATCAATTTTTTGAGCTTCTCCTGGTAGACGAAATCCTTCTAGAAACATGCGCAGAGCTGAAACAAAATCCTTTCCTGAGAAGTCGTGCTGGTCTACATATGCATACATGACTTCTTTGTTAAATTTATCATTGTCTCCCAGGAACTCCCCAACCTGAGTCTGAAATAAGAATAGGAAAGACAAACTAGTGCATTTATATTTGAAAAATAAATATAAATAACAACAACAGAGTCAAATGTCCTACAAAAAGAGAAGCATGTACTGCAGTTAACTGAGACATACTCCTGTTTCTCCTCTATTGTCTAAAGCACTTTGACCACATATTCCATCATAATGCTCTTACATGCTCATACATACCAGTCTATACTCTCCCTTCTCTGCTTCTACTCACATGCCATCTTCTTGTTAGATGAATTACACATGTGTATAAGACAAAGTTAGTATTACAATTGATTGTTCTCTGCTATGATGATTTTTGTAGTTAAGAAACTCATTATAGGAATGAGAAGCTTACTAAACTCAACTTTGTCCCCTAGAGTACTGATCTCAAACAGATGCAAGTGATGCTCAAATAAAAACAGCTGGTACTCAAATACGTCTGAGGTGATCACTGTCAACACAACACAGTACAGTGAAAAAGAGCATGCATTCAGATAAAGATGCCTGTATATGTAAACTGATACTAAAAAAAATGTTTTGATGCTTGATTTGAAGCACTGATACTGAAATTTGTGACTTCAGCCACAACTATAAACATGGGCACCAATGGGTGTGGCTTTTATGCACAATGGTGAGAACTGCTGTTTCAGAAAGTTAGGTTTCTCATGACAATATTAACATATTAGAAAACACATATCAGATATTCCCACCCAGATACTGCAGGACCCTTCCAAGTCCAGCAACAGATGCTAACTGTAAATAAAATCAAAAACTAATATCGATTAACTAACTGTCCTCTTGGGGTGGAAAAAAACTGCTTTTAATGTTGTTGCATCACATTATTATTTTCACCATCTCTGAAGAACAAATATTTATGGCAGTTCCTTACTAAAGTATATAGGATTTACTATGTTGCTTCAAGCTATACTAGCAACTAAGTACAAGTTTTGAGTCAGCTCAAGTAGGTCAGTCTCAAGCTTTACACCTTTCTGAACCACAGAATGCACAGAGTACAGGGTAGAGCTCTACTGCACTCTCCAACTCAAATTTCATGAACTTACAAATTTAGAAGAGACAGAGAGAGGGTTCCTTTTCTTCATTCCACAGTAATGTGATACAGTCTAAACACTACCAACTGATTTGCAATTACTAGAAACACACCAGCACGAGCACAGACAACCATCAGGGGTAAAGAGTTTCCTTACTGAATCTAATCTTTCCTCTTGATGCAAGAATTGAGCAATATCTTCAGGGGTAGTGCCCAGCATTCCTTGCTCTTGCAGGTACTGAATCCCTCTCTTTGGTTTCTTGTTGAATCTGTACAATGAAGAGCAGGACGAAATGAGAGTTAACCCTTCTACCCATGCACAAAGTTGTACCAGCTTAAGTAAAAAAATCCAGAAATTTCAGATGAGATGCTGAAAAATCTACATATTAAATATTTTTCCTTTGTCAAACTGCATATTAGATAGGAATAAGCCATTCCCATTTACTCTGGCACTCATGAAGAAAAAAATATTCCACAAAGACAGAAAAATCTTGAAAAGAACAATTATGCTGTTGATTTTTTATCTTAATCTGTATGAAACAATCAAAAAGTCCATTAATTGCCTGTAAAAATGGAAACATACAAAACACAGAACCAGGAAACTGAAAGAAATTGAAGCCCTAAAGGATTAAGGCGCATTCGTGCAGGGTCCCAGAACTATATGACAGAAAACTTCCATTTTTTGCATGTAACTGACCTCACTGAGGAGATTAAGGTGACAAAGATGAAATCACATGGAAGATTCATGTCAGACTGCTCTTAGAAATTACATTATCCTTCAGTTCTAATTATGATAAGTTAATTAATCATAAAGTCTCCTCAGCATAAGCATATAGGCATTTTCATCAGTAACACGTACATTAAAACAGGTCATATTCAAATGATCACGAGTTCAATGTTCTTTTTATCCAAATATAAAAACCTTATTTTTAGACAACCAGGTCTGGAGAAAAAAGAACAAACATTCAGAGTACTCATCTTCTAGCTGTGAGGAATTAGGTTAACACAAAACACTGTTGACAGGCTCCAAAGGGGACACCATTCAGCACTCTTTCACCAGAGGAAGTGCTGTTACATCCAGAGTTTTTTTCCTAACACAAGATGAGTATCTATGAGGAGAAGGAAGAAAAACCCAGGAATCTTCATAGCTCCAAAAGAATCCGCCCTCCCATGGGTGATAAAAGAGCACTCACAAGTCAATTCCTTGTTCTATTATTTCCTTTTGCTGCTTTAGGACTTCAAACTGCTCTGGGTTGTCAGTGCCAGACATCTGTGTGCTGTAACTGCCAATTCCTGATGAAGCAGTAGAATCCAAAGAATTTAAGCTTCCATATCTGTTAATTGTCTCAGGGTGTTTGGTTTCACTGTTGTCCTGTTCTGTGGGTTTTTCTTGGCCTATAAATTGGAAAGGGTTACATATGTCCAAAACACATTCAGTGAAAAGAAATAAAAATCACATGTCAAATACTCAATGCAGGCTTCTAATACTCAGGGTTATCTTCAATTATGTACTTATATATATATATGTATGTATGTATGTATGTTCTGCTTTTATTTTGGTCAGGAAAGTAAATAATACTTTAAAAAATCACTTCAACATCTCAAGGAGATTTATTTCAGTTCATCACACACTGAAATTTAAGTCTTAAATTAGAACTCTAACTTCAGGCACTTGGGAAAAAAACCCCAACACCTCAGAAAACCAACTACAGCTTTTCTATTTTATCTTCAAATCCAGTGTCACTTTTAACCTGGAGCAACTATTCGAAGTTTCTGAATCACAGTGTCTAAAAGAATTAGGCAAGGAGCTGCTGCTTTCAGTTCACAAAGACAGGCACACTAACTGCTCCCAGAAAGTTTACTACTTTACCTACCAACTTTAAGTGCTTAATCAGAAAATTCTGGCATAACCTTAGGTCAGATGAAAACAAGATTAAAACAAGTAATGATTTAGTTACTTCATGGCTTACAACATTCAAACTTCTGCAGCTATAAAATGTAGAAATAAATATTCAGAAAGTAATTTTTTTAAATAGTCAGTAAATAAGTAAAAAAAAAAAGCTCTCTATTCTTGCTTTAGCAGGTATTTAACCAACATGAAATTATACAAAATTAGGGAGCTTCAAATAAAGTTTTGAGACACATTTAAAATCAGAAATACAGACAATAATAGGATTTAGACATTTTCAGTACAGTAGCATTCTAGGAATTCATACAATTAAGAAAAGACAATTAAGACAACTTGTTTAAATGAAACCACACTTATCAATATTTCTACCAAAGGAAAAATAGTCTGGACATTAACAGCTTCAAAATATTGGAAGAACACACTCAAGTCTTGCAGCACCTCATTACTAAAGCCAGAAGAAACACCTCATATGTCTTACCAAGGGTTGTCTGGGAATTGGGATTTACATATTGATCCTTACTCCACTCCACCATGCATTTCAAGATCGATACCAAGCATTCCAATCCTTTTTTTCTCAAACTTAATTCCTGGAAAAGATTTCATAAACAATTAATTAGTGGACTGGAGAGTTTAGTCTCAAACTATCATACCAAGAAACGTGAAACTACATTAAGTTTGGTGCAGTTTTTACCTGAACATTGGACATGCCAAGTTCTTGGCTACCCCTTCCTTGAGCAATCTTTGATAAGTCATTAACCAGTCTTTCAAATATATTTGCTGCATTCAAATCACAATCATAGTTCACGTAGATGTCCACCACACTCTGAGCATCTATAAATAAAGTGATATTGTCAACCTTGCAACAGAAACTAGGTTATTTATTAATTTAAAGGCAAGTATAGTTTTGTTCTTTAAGGTAAAAAAAAAAATAAATCTAGAACACAACAGCCCTTAATACCTGCACATATCCTTGTCAGTGTTTGTATAACCATCCATTTATGATCAAATGAACTAGTAGAAGTTTCCAAGATATACAGGAAAATTTCTTTGAAGAAAACCTAAAAAATATTCCAGGAAGAGGGAGAAAAAAAAAATCTATTACAAAAACAGTCACTAACTTCGATGGTCAAAATTCTGAAAGCAGCACTTTAGAAGCACGGGAAATAATGAGAAGGCCAAAAAAAAAAGGAGGAAAGGAAGAAATACGACTTATGACTGATACATGCAAATTAAGAATCTGAATTATTTACTTATGTGCTTCTGCAGTATTGTCCAGCTTTATTTCCTGAGCATTCAAAAGCAGAATTTGGAATGTCAAATCCTGAAGGACAATTCAGCCTAACAAGAAGCCTAAACTGCTGTTAAGAGTGAGACTTATTGGAAGAAGGGTACTGGTCAGGCACAGCATGCAGCAACTCCATTAACAGGAAAGCTACTCTTCACTAGAATACAGGTGAGTTTGCCTTGAAATCATTTTAATACAGATGCTGTTGTTTGGAACAGAAACTATTTTATTCCCTCTCAATCAGTTATTCACCAGATCCATCAGGCTGGCTAATTCAGCCAAGCTTGCTTAGCAGCTAAGCTAAGGCTTCTTCTCACTTCTTCCTTGAGCAGTACCAACTGCTGTAACAGCCCCTGAACCCAAAACAGAACTGCTACAAGGGTATTACATCAGTTTTCTGTACTTCAACTCTTCACAGCCACTTGTGGCTTCCAGACCCATAACACATAGATTTACTAGAGGGCTGCTGAGAGTCTCAAGCTACTCAACTTCTCCAATAGCATCACACAAATATCCAAACCCTTGTTTTTAGTATTGACTGTTCCTTCATAGCACAGAATTTTTACAGAGATTTTTATGCTATTAGCCAGGTAAAGAAAAGCATAAGGCTGTTTCCACTTTAAGTCATACACCTGGGGAAAAACAGCAACATTGACTTTTAGGCAACTTTGTTGGTAAGCCATTTCCTCAAGTAAAATGTGCGAACTATAGTTATATTTTATTGATCTCTTTAGAGAGAGGCACACAGCACAATGCTAGCTAACTGTCTTAATAAGGAAAGCATCCCTATGAAACCTAAGGTGTTCAACACATACCTATTTAAAGACTTGCATGTGCTTAAACATATTTAAGCATACTAGACTGATTTTAGCCACAATTTTACATAATCAGAGAAAAGACAAAAATTTAATACACGTCATGCTGTGAGTAACCCTCAGTTACACATTTGGTGTTTTCTAATTTTTTACTGAAAGACATTGATTTTATATATTTTCTGGAACTAGCAGAAGTATTTCTCTTCTGGTAGAAAATTTAAAAAATAAGACACTGAAGAAGGAGAGAAAAAGATTTCAGGGACAAAAACTAAATCGAAATCTAAGCTAGAAGAGAAAATAGCTGGAAGCTCTGCATACTATCAAGGCACTTGATGGTATCTCCTGACTTCTTCCTTCTGGTATCACTTTTGGATAAGCATATCCTGGAATGAAGAACTTCTCAAAACGATAGTTATGGTTTACATTTCAGCTATTTAAAAATGCTATTTATTGCTACATAATTTATTGCAATTCACATCACAGAGTTGAGACTTTGCTAATACACTGGAAAACTAAACCAGAAAACAGCTATTTATTATATTTGGTCCACTGAAGTATGAGTTTTAAGGTATTCACAATTCTGAAAGGGTGGTAATAGTAAGTACAGCTAAATGACACTCCAACTCCTCTGATAACTGGGATTTGATTTGCTGCAAATATATTCATTAACTTCTCCAGAATTCGTGCTACAACTAAGGTATGACTCAAACTATTTTACTATCAGAGGGCAGTGCTAGCTAAATATATAAGTCAACAAGCCAGGAGAGGGTAACTTTCTTGTTATCTGAAACTATTCTTTTCAAACACGCCAGAAAATTCTTACACAGATGAAAAATGCAGCCTCAATCCCAAAATATATAGATTTTGCATATTATAAATCAGAGCATATGGCTCTCCTTACTGCTCCAAGACACAAACTGCATGTGAAGTTCTCTATGTGTCTACCCACATCTTCAGAATAACCTTTAGGATCAGTAGCTGAAAGAAGAATTCTTAGCTCACCATCAGGAAAAAGAAAGACGTTTCTAGAAACTGCTGTACTTTGTAATAGATGGGTACTTCAGCAGCATCAAGTATTTGGGTTTCCTATTCACAAGGAGGAAATGTAGCCCTGATATGTGGTGATGGCCCTAATTTAGCATACTCTAGAACCTCCTACAATAGTGTAGGGCATCCTACATCCAGTTTGCCTCAGATGTCTTTATTTTCTATTAGGAATTTGTGAAAGGCTGGCAGCGATGGAAACCTATCAAATTTCTGTCAGGGAAGCCGACTGCAATGCGCTCACCACCTACATGCTGACTTGTAAGCTCTCTGAACACAGCAAGTCCAACACTTTCTGGGAGGCAGGCTATGGGACTGAGAGCAGCTCCACCCAGTCTGTCTCATGTGCCAAGCACTGCACATGCACTACAGTCTTGTTGAGCACACAGTTGGCCTCAAAACTTTTCAAAATGCATGACATTTTCAAAGCACATTCAATCATTTCTATCCAATCTATGCTCAACCACATACTGGAAATCTTACTGCTTTTTCCCCAAGGAAGTATCAAAATAACCTGGTAAGTGATCAGAACACAATCATTTTATGACATGCTACTGTCAAAATGAGGTTCTTCCTCCAAAGCTACCATAACACATCAACTTGTACAATGACATCCACAGATGAAGATATCCCTGAATTCAAGGTCCTTACAACAGCAAAATTCATCAACATTTCTAAGCATCTCTTCACATACTTAAGTTCCACATGGATGGGGCAATCTGTTGGCTTCAATATTCACACTTGACACCCCAAACAAAAAATTACTAAAATAAACAGCAGGGACACACTGCACACAGTACTACTTTATTCACCACAGAATTAAGATCTTTAACACATGGGGCACCACAAGAGGGTATCCATGTGGGTGAACAGGACAGAGTGGTTCTGAGAAGCTGCTTGTACCTTATCTACAAAGAGCTGATCTCAGGAACAAACCCTCCACATACAGAATATTCTGAGTTGGACAGGATCTGCAAGGATCATTAGGAGTCCAGCTCTTAAGTGAATGGCCCATATGGGGATAAATCTTCCTTTGAATGGCCCATATGGGGATAAATCTTCCTTCTCCCTGTGACTTAGAACTGACACACTGAAAATTCACAATGTCTGCCAGGACTCAAAGAATTTATTGCAAAGAATATAGACTCATCTCCACTTACAGTCCAAGGAGTTAACTTGTGTGCACACCTTTAGAGGAAATGAGATAATCTTATTCAGGACATATATTGACAGAGGCCCTCATAAGCAAAGGGAAGTGGCTATAATAATGGAATAGCTAGGACTTCTCCAGAGAAAGAAATCTGTTCAAGTGATCTTAAAGATCACAATGCTTTTCACATCATTAGTTTTTATTCTAAAAATCTTTTGTAAAACCATATATATTACCTCTTTTCCTGAGTGCATTCATTTTCTTAGTTTATAATATGTAGTGCTGTGCTAAGCTTTCTTAATCACAAAATTGAACATTGGTTGAGCTTAGCCACAAATCTACTCAATTCTGAGTTTCAGCAACACTCTGTGGTAGTACTGTGCCACACCCAACAGAAAACTTCAAAATAAGGAAAATCTGGCAAGCCCTACACAAAAGCTATGAATCACAAAGGAAAACAAATTTATTCAAGCAAGACCAAGCTACACAAATATAAATAAATGTTCACTTAATACCTCCCACACATTTAATTAGAAACTAATGCAACGTACCTCAATCTGCATCTTTAGATGAGTCTTAAAGTTTGACAGGAGGGTAAGAAATATGGAAAGTGAAAGTTCAAAAACTTCTGGAACTGATGAGACTCCATTTTTTGACAGTGCAACACAGAGGTACTGCTTTATAGCATTAATGAACATCTCATTTGTCCTGAAGACTGGTCCTGCATTTTGCAGAATGGACAGAAGCAACTGCAATGAAAGAATCTTTGATCGCAGTTCATGAGATCTAGAACAAAACAATGCAGCATATCAGCCCAGTGTAAGCCATAAGAAATAAAAACCCCATTTCTATTGAAAAGTCAATACAATCCACAATTATTTTGCAAGCGGAACGTTAATTACAGAAACTCACATTTGACACAACCAGTTGCAGAAAGGGTCATAAAAAATGTTGGGTCTTTTTTTTGTTAAACTGTTCATTTTTCAACCAAGAATGCAGGCAAGACCTTTTCCAGAATAGGAAAAATTACTGTTGAGCCACTCTCTCTTCTGCACCACAGAACAGCAGCAAAGAAGAGGCAATGCAGCTGTTTCAGACAGAGGATGAAGGAGCATTCTTTCCTGTTAACAGAGCTTCGGAAAATCCCATCTAAAATCCAGTTCATCTACCAAAATCTGACTAGTCAAAGATGGAAATTCCTTCTCCGCTTCTATTTCTACCAGCATGAAAAGGAAGTTGAAGGACTATAAATACAATACAATACAATGTTGGAAAGTGTACTTTTCAACACTGAAATCTCTCTTCTCAAACACAGCATTAATCAGTCACTGGGCCCATCCCACTCTGAGAGCAGGTGAGACACAAAATGCGCCTAATTTAAACATGGCAATCACCAAGTCAGTCAATTGCAGTGCTATCAAATGCTCCACAGTAACATTCTTACAGACTCAAGTAAACTCGAATTCATACCAGAACAGTGCTACTATTTCTGCTCTAAAAACCCCTAAACAAACACAACAAAACTGCCAAAAAAGCCCTCAGACTGCACATGGAAAAAGCATAAAGGAAATCTACACCTATTAAAATCCAATGCAATAAATAGCATTCCAGGTGAAACCATTCTCTCCGAAGACTCCTGATGCTCCTTCCCACTCCTGATAATTTCAAAATAAGGCTGTTTCTCTTCTGAAGAGCAGGTATAGACACAATTGGCTTTGCCAACAGGACAGTCCCCAGCTTTCATTAAACAACCACCCCTGACAGAGGACAGTTATGAAACACAGGGAACAATGACAGGAAATTTTTCATCCAGTACAGCCCAGACACAGTAAGGAGCGCTTCAAGCCAATCCATGCCACAGAGAGTAGCTGGATATTTGCTGTATATTGCAAATATATAAGCTTAATTTAAAAAAAAAAAAAAAAAAAAAAAAAAAGTAAGAAATGCTAATTAAGTTGCAAATAAAATCAATTCTTTCTGCCCAACAGAGTGGGATGGGGCAATCAATCTGCAAACATTTCAAACTCAAAATGTAATTCCAAAGTAGACGTTTTCTTCTGAAGATGCTTTTGAGAAGAAAACAGCCAGTCAAACTGAGTGAGGAACTTGTCCCTCACATTTCTCCTAACGGGCTACAGGTCAAAGTCAACCTGAAACTGCTCTCTGTAGGACTTCTTTAAGAAAAGACTTGATGCTGGCACTGCATAGAAGCTGACATAACAACCTCTTTTGATGCAAAAGGCTTGATTTTGTATCACATGGTACCAGGTGTGCATACAGCATATAACCAGACCATACTTTGCTATGGAATGTAAGAATTTAAATATGAAGAGAATTTCAGTCATAAATATTAAGTATTGCCTACTTCCAGCAAGTGTCAGTTCCCCGAAATCTTGACATGATGACCTTAACAATTCTGTATGATGTGTAAAGCTCACTTAATTTAGAACAGGTTTAAGATAAAAACAAAAACCAGCAAGCAAAGCTTTGAGCAATATTTCAATCCCATTTTATTTTATTCCAGAAAAAAAGGAAACAAAGACACTGACCAGGTTCCCAGAAAGCAAAATGCTGATCTTAACTCCCAGACTTGTGATTTTAAGCTAAAGCTCCAAGTTCAGTTACCTAAAATCTAAAAATATTTTCATTACAGACTTCATAACAAATTTCATTGAAAATAAGATTTCTACAGAGGCAGATATGACTCTTGAAATGCCATAGATATCCAAGCCTCCTCTTCTAATTACAGTATGTTTGTAATAGTTCAAAAAGCCATCAATGACTCAGAACCATTGATAAATTCTAGGCACTTCTCCAAATATGGATATCTTCAAATGTATTTGCAGTGAATTTTTGTTGCCCTAAATGCCTTTTTCTCCAATTTTTTTTTTGTATGAAGAGCTTCACCAGTTCTAATCTGAATGTCAAGAACTCCATGTATTCACATGAGATTCTCCAAGTGCCTCAACAGCTATTACTGCTCTTGCAAGGGGAGTTAATCCACTAAAGCCTTTAATAAATGGACAGCTTTAGTCTCAGAGTACTAGCTAAAACCACAGGATTTTCAAGGCATTTCCTGGAAGACAATTCTCAGAAATAGTGAGAAAAACCCTTATGCCTCAGTCTTCATTCTCTAATGTCTTGACTTTCCATAACACATTGCTAGATAATTTAAAAACGTTCCTAGACTAAACCTTCAAACCCTTTTGACTACATATATCTTTTCAGCATATTAAATCCACACCACACATTACTGATTAAACTAAACTGCCTTAAAAGTTACTGCTTTAAAAGCTAGACTCAGAACAGTAAAGCTGATTTTATTTTGAAGAATACCAGGCCTTTCACTGTCATCTGAAATCATACTACTGTGTTTCAATTTGATCTCTTAACACTCCTTAAATCAAAAAAGCACTCCTCCTCTTGAAAATTATTAGCAATTGTTCGTAATGTGCAAATAAAATGCATATAAGCCTATAAATCCAAGATCAGAAAGCAAACCTTTCTGCTGACACTCAAATTTAATACTGGCGCCCATCTATACAGGAGACTCTATATTTCCTCTACAACAAACAATTCTATAAATAAAACTGAATACATGATATCTCCAGTGAGAAGAAACAGCCAAATAAAATATTTTTTTCTCAAACATCTGTATTTTGATTAAGTAGGCTGACAGAAGTGTCCAACCTGAACGAAAGAATGAAACACTGCATTATGAATTTATCATAACCAGTTATCAGCTGCAGGTGAGGAGTTTATATTAAGATGAGGTAGGGCTGAGGATGTGTACTGGATACACAAATGTGCTGGTTTCACCTGATGTAGTTACATTTCTTCCCAGTGGCCAGTACAAAGGTATGTTTTGGATGGAGAGCATAGGTATTAAGAAACTTCTGAACAGGTATATGTATATATATATATATATATATATACACACATATATTTTATATATATATATATATATATATAAGATGCATTAAAACATAAAAGTACCTTTCCAAAGTTTCTAGGTTCTTTTCACCATACCATTGGCTTCTCAGTAACAGGACTCACAAAAATATTAAAATAATTTATTTTTATTGTTAGATTCATTAGAAAAACTTTTAAATTCTACTTACTTTGGATCTGGTGGTCCATCTGACAGGGGCTTCATGGAGAGTTTACACAGTGACCTGAATACAAGGAAGGCATCCTTTTGTAAAATGTGGGAAAACTTAGCACCAGGGGTAGGTCCTGAAGAATTTCCAGATTCCTAAGGAAGTTAACATATTTCAGTATTCCATTTTGCATTAGCAGGGTGTGTAGGGAAATCCCCACCTCTGAGCAATAAGCAGCTAATATATTATACAAATTTAATGAATTCACTTTAGCTTTATGATCTCAAGACTAAAACAAAACATTCTGCAGTCCAGTTGAAATGAAAGTCACTACTAAAGATTGCCTATTCAGTAAGAAGTCAGAATTAATTAAAGAGTGTCATGAAATTAGGTTGGTCAAGTTTAAGTAGGGTAATTTGCAGTGAATTGTTGCCAGGCACTTTCAGTAGTTACTAAAAGATTAAAAGAACCAAACAACTGACATTTTAATAGAACATAAATAGTAACCTATCTGCTGCCAGATACATTTGATAAAATTTCTATGGGACAGTAAACACCCCTATTACTAAGTTCTTGCAATTCTGTATTATTGTTTTATACACAAGCAACATGTTTAATGTCAAGTCTTTATTTATATGGCTTATGTGGCTGTAACGTTTTGAATTTAAAATTATTATTCACAAACCTAATTACTTAGTACACTCTGACAGCAGATACTCTTGGTCAGCTGACAAGTGTATACGTGTCTCATACAAGAGAGGGAGTGTATTTTCACATCTATTTTGTTAATGAAAATCAAATCCTCTCAGACATTAAACTCTTGATCTGAAATCACTGCACTAAGATCATGCTATCAGCTTGAAACTTCTATTTATTGTTTGAAAATAGCACACTAAAAATACACACACGTGTATAATTGACTATATGCTTCACTATGTATCTTAAATACTAGTTTTACAGTTTCTCAGGAGCACTTCATGAAACAGGAAACTAAGTTCTCTTGAACAGTGAACTCCATGGGACAACTAAAAACATGATGGGATAAAAAAAGACATCACGTGCAAAATTTATTCAGAAAAAATTAATTTAAATAGTGCATTAGAGTAATATGACTTAATTATTGAAATTCATCTCAGCAACCTATTTTATGGAATTATACTAATCACTCTGCACAAGTGTTGGGCAGCATTTAAAACATAATCCTTTTTTTTCTAATTTATGTCTGCCTGTACCTGAGTATCGTTGGAAGAGACAGATAATCTGTCATCGGGTAAAGATGGTGTATAAGCAACAGAAATTGGAGTCCCTGGAATTCCATTTGCCTGAATGTTTTCACTGTCACTGACATCCTCTAATGATACAGTTGTGCCATCACCACCTGCAGTCCCTTCCACATCTATCAGGAAAGATGTAAAAATTATTAACAAATGTTACATGAGATTAAAAATTTAAAAAGAGCTTTAAAACCAACATTTAAATACTAAATAATCATAAGGAGGAACTTAAGACAGAATTTACATGGCATTATAGAACTATAAAAACTGCAAATATTCTTAATACCCACTAATAAAAATTACAGTAGAAATTTACTTAAACTTCACATTGTGAGGGTCACCACTCTTCCAAGTTTCCAAGAAGTACTGGTATGGGACATCACTCACTAGTCTGATAAGAATTTCCAACAAACTGAAAAATATAGTGAGACACTGCTACTACAGATAGGGACTCACTTCTGAAGAGTGTTCATATAGAAACAAGATAAAATAAAAATAGTAATTAAAAAAACAAAACCAAAAAATCAGCAAGAATTTGTATTTTAAAAGAACGTTTGTCTCTAATACAAAGAGTGTAAATCAATATATGAAATCCTGTCCATTTTACTGTTAAATAATGCACAGCTCAAGTCTGACTGCACAACTGTCTTCTTTAGCATTTAAGTCATATTTAAATGATGATAAATTTTAATTAAAATATTTCAAAGTGGTGAAATAATCCTTAAGGTCAAGAATCAGACCGCGGTCGCGATTGACTAGACAGATATTAATATAATACCTCCAACTACTATGTTCACCATTTCCTGCACAATACTTTCTACAATTTCTTGTGCCTTCTCTTCACACTCATTGCTTTCACCATCATATGTTCCTCCATCAACTTTAGAAAGATCTTTATAAAGAAAAACAAACACAAACAAGTATTAATGAGATACTCTGAAATTAAGAAGGTATTTTGCTTGCACTTAACATTTAGAAATAAATGTTTGGATGCTTCAAAAATAGGTATTTGCACAATGTATGAATTCCAGTGGTTAACCTGTAAATGGCAATTTATCTACAGGCCTATGCCAGCAAAACACATCAATTTTGTATCTTCACAGACATTAAAACACTGAAAGCTTGAGGGTTTTGAGCTGTTATTCTCAAAAACTTCCACAACATTACACAGATGCAAAAAGGAATTTTTAATACAGACTCCTACAGAGTGCAGGACTAAAGGATGCTCTTGATGGACAGTGGTAACAAAGACAAATGGGCATTTTGCATTAGACAACTACTTGAAAACTTATGCCTGAAGGAAGACAATCCTCAAGCCTTTCTTTTCACAGACCTTTTCCCTCCCTCCATCAAACAGAAATACACACTGATTACTTTCTGCTGCTGTGGCTTGGTCAGCTTCTGTCTGCTCATTTTCAGCACTAGAAATGTCAGATCCATTTTCTGCCTCAATATCTTCTTGAAGGTTCTTGTCCACATCATTTGTGCTGTGGTCAAGCTCTCTCTCATGGTCTTTGGACAGCTGATCAGCCTGTGCTGGAATATGTCTCAACTGAGGTGATTCAGGCTCATGATGGCTCACTGGAGACTGCTGAAGATGATGTTGCTGTCTGTGTCTTTCCTTTTCCATCTGTTTGGCTTCCTGAAGCTACAAAAGCATTGCAAACACACAAGAAGTTCACTATCAAAATAAAACAGCAAGATAAATGCATTATTTTATAAAGATGACACCTCTATTGTCTCTGCTTACATAGTAACAGTTTAAGAAAATGCATCTTTGTTCAATTAGAAATAACTTCAGTATCATGGGATAATCCATTGCAAGAGGGCTGCTTCCCAATTATGCACATAGTTCACACCTTCACTGTCAAAAAGGGATGACTACACTACATAAACCATAGAATCAAGAGTTGTCTGCCTGCCCTATAAGGAAGCTCAGGGAATAGGTGTGACAATAAGCAAGGAGTGCTTGGAAAACATCAAGGCAAACTTTTTTTGTGGTCCCTTTTTCCGGAATCCCCAGAAAAAGAGGAATTTCTGTGTCTTGTCTAATGGATTACAACAACACACAAAGTCAAACCAAAGCAAAATGTCTCTTGAGGTAAATACATCTATTAAATATAGCAGACCACTATGAGAAGTTTAAAACCTGTACACCACCCCCACCCCCAATCTCCATATTTTCCACCTATTTCAGAATGCAAAACACAAGAAGAAAAATATCAGATACCAGATACTTTTCCTGAAAGAACCCAAGTTAGAAAAGCCAAAAACATTAATAATGATGAAACTAATCTCTCAAGCTGGTTTGCTTTCAGGAGATAGTTTCTAGATAAAGATACTGAGATACTCACTGCTTGATTTTCCATACGTGCAAAAATGACATTCAGCATTTGTGTAAGAGTGGCCTTGGCTGTAGTTTGATTTATAAGATTTTTGCTTGCTAGGTAGATATTGTAACATGTTCTTACAGCCTGTAGTACTGTTCCTTCGTGGATTTCTATGTGTTGAGATGTTACTGCAGTGAGCAAAGCCTAAATAAACACACAAATATATACATTTACCAGTCAAAACTTTTATCAGTCAAAAAGTCTGGCAGTTAATAAATACCAAAACTGGATTACTTCTACAACATATGTAAACATGTATCTTGAACAGCAATTTAATTATGTTCTCCCACATACTCTTGTAGCCATATTGGAAAAACATATTTACCAGTAATATTAAACTGAGTGTTTTTTTAATCAACATATCGAAGAATTACATGTTTCATAGTGTGTAACAGCAAGAAGTAACCAATGGAGCCATCAGAGAAGTAGCTAATAGAAATCATCCTCAGATTTTCTAGACACAAAACAGGAACACACTATCTGTTAAAGCCTGGAAGGGAAGCCAAAAGGTCCAAAAGTTGATTTAGAAATAAATGTAAATATGATGAACAAAGACTGAATATGAGATTAGACAGCTATACTAAGACAACTGCCTTTTATAAGAGATGCTAGAAAATTGTGCTGCCCCTATATAGAAATACACTTATTTCTTCCTATTTGCACTAATATCTGCTTGTCTTTAAAAAAAAAAAAAAAAAAGGCACATAAGCTTCTGAAACATCAGATAACACAGAACGAATTATCATTATGTGAGGGAGAGGCAGGCTGGATTAAAGGACAGAAATAGAGGCAGATGAAACCTGAGGATAGGGTTTGAAAACATTATCAGAGATGTGTGTTGGACAGTGATAAGAAAGGGGAAGAGCCTGGCTTGCAACCTGGTTTGCATATTCATCACTGTCATCCACTAAAGGAATGAGGGAATTTTGAGCATTAAAAACTTGTGACAGTTACCATTCAATGGGATGTTTAGGGTAAAAAAGAAAGAACTGGAAGCACTGGAAAGCTCCTACTTATTAAAATTTATCACAGTTAAAAACAAAGGTTAATTCAAGTGTTGGGTAATTTACTAATCAAACCATACCTCACATCTCTTACTGACATTGTCAGTACTTCTATACACACAAGGCACCAAGATGTGGAGAAATAGTACCCATCACACACTTAAACCCTCGAAAAGTAAAATGAGTCACTCTTGAAAACAAGCTGAACAAGTGGATGCCAGGCACAAACAGCTATCTTTTCCAAACCACTATTGTCTGGACCTAATACAGTACATATTTAGATTTAGTTAATATTTATTTAACTCAGTTACAAATTATACCACTGACATGTATACACACACACTTAATACATCAGTTTAAGAACCACCTACAGCTTTTCACTTGGAAGACAAGGTCTCTTTCAGCCTAGCACTAAGGACACTAATGAAAGGTGCAGAAGGATCCACTCCATCTCTGGTTCTAATGATGTCATTCATAAAGTTACTCCTTGGCTACAGATAGACAATGTGCTCTTTTGTTTTAATTAGCTTAACAGCTTGAATTTCCTAAGTTTTTTCAGTCTGCTTGTTATAAATAGTAGAGCCTGCTTCTTTTCACACCACATGATTAGAGGTGTAGAGGCAAAGAAATACTTCAAACATACAATGAGACACATCTCCTTAATATATTAATCCAAATTCACTGAGTAATATTTTCTGTGCACCCTGAAGAATCAGTCTTTCTACAGGGCATTTCTACAGGCATTCTTTCTCCCTGCAGATATCAAACTAAACACGAGTTTACAAAGCTCTTGATAGTTACTTCTTTGGGTTTCTTTCCTTCCCAGGCACTAGACATGAATCTTAATGACTACCATACACATTTGCAATCTGATAAGCATTTTTAGCTTTCATCTCTTGCTAATATCTTCCATCTTCCTTATACTTTAGACTCATCCTCAGGCTATCAGTCATTCTAACTTCACATCTCAGCACCATTTCTCTTCCACTAGTATGCCAATCCAGTAGAAATACGAGAACAAACAGAAGACAGAAGGTATTTTACAATTACTTGTTGAACATCCTTCCCTCTTGACAGCTTCCATTTAGGGCTCACTTTGATGACATGCCCTAGACAACATCACCTGATTCTCTATCACAGAGTATATCATTATCACAGTGGCATGACAGCTAACCCTGAGAAACCACATGTTATGCTCAGGAATGGCAGTGCTGCTCCTCTGAAACCCTTGTGAACTCACATGTTAGAAAAATAAACCCTGCCTTTTTTATTTTAGTACTTTTCTTCACATTACTCCCCCTTATACTGTGACCAAACAACTATTATGTCCAACACAAGGAAAAAGAGAGGGGTGAAAGGTGAGGACAATAACGCCAGGCCACAGTGAAGCAGGATTACTCAAAATCTGAAACTGCTACACAACACATCCTTGAGAGATGGAGTAAAAAATTCTTACCTTCTACCCAGCCACACTCTTATTTTGCAACAGATCCAGAGCATGAAGCCACCTGTGCTATTTTTAACAGCAACTCATCAATACAAGTAAAAATCATAGAAAACAAAAGCACCCTCAGGTGCTTCTCTGGTGTTTAGCTTTGGGGTTTTGTTTGTTTTAAAAGTGATTTTAGTAGATGCAGAGTATTAAATGCTTGCTAGGACAAGAGATGGGGTAAGGGGAAAAGTCTGTGAGCAAAGCCTGGACAGAAAAATGGCTCTCTGCAGAGGTCAGAACAGCAAGCTACTTGTACGGAGTCAAAGCATTACGTTGCTCCTTTCTACCACCTAAAGTTTTGCTGCTCAAGGCTTTTTGCAATTGAGTTTCCACTCTTTCTGGTCACACTTAGCTCATCTGTTTCACAGCATCTTCACTGTGAGTTAAGAAATAAAGATTGAAAAAAAAGCCTACTTTATTTACTCTTCCCCTTTGCTGCTCTTTAGAAACAGAAGGAAACCTTTGTGAAAGGTTAGCACTACCTCATTCTCCTTCAGGTCCTTCCACAAAAGCTTCCTTTGTCACACAGCCTGCAAAAATACCAACAGCCAACAAGCCTTCCTTGCCTTGAAACTACTGGCTACCATCCTGACTATGAGTTTGCTTCCTTTTGCCTTCCCTCCAGTCCTTCATACTTACTGTTCTGTCTGGGAAAGACCCTACCGTTCTGTGCTGTCCCCTACTAACTATAAATAAAGCTTATTCGTCTTTATAAACAACTACTGGATGGCTTTGGGAAAGGAGAAAAATCTCCAGGACAACTTCATGACTTAGAGATTATCATATCTTTGTGTGACACCCACAGCAATTTTTCTTTTAGCCTGAAGCACATTTGCCAAGTGAATTTTTTATTATTTAAAACAAATGCATTAGAACAGTTCAGGAAGTATCATGGTTTGTGAGGCAAAATGCACGTAATTTTAAAAGTAAACTAAATTAACAATAATCCTCTACTAAAAATATCCAGCATCCATCTATAACACTAAACTTTTGATTCTTCTCACACTGAATATTCTATAAGAACAGCACAGTTACAGCAAATATGACTAGAACCAGGAGACAAACTTTCAGCTCAGGGTCAGTTATTTCTTCCTCTCAGCCAACTCTAATCATCTTATCTTTGGAAGATTTATGACACATTACAGCTGTCATCTGATCAGCACGGTCTTACTTTGTCTTAATTTCGTAATTCAGTTGCCTGGAAACTCTCAAATACTTGGAATGGTGCATAAAACACAGCGGCCCTAGCTCTTCTCTCTAGTGTGATTTAGCTACGAGAACCACATAATTCTGTTTCCTTTGAGAAGGTCTACAGGGTTACTTTCAATAATATTTTTTTTAAGTTAACTTGTAGTCCAAACATTTACTTATCACAAGAAAATGTGCTAGTATGGACTGACTTTTGAAAAAGCACAGGAAACTGAATTCCTTAAATCACAAAACAACAAATATATCAAATAACCTTCATAGATAAATAATTATTGAATTTAAGTGATGCTAAAAAAAAAATAAATCACTAAATAACATTCAACTTTTCAGACTACAGTTATCAAGCACAAACAACAATCTTTCTCTGCCAAACATTAGTAAGTTAAGCTGTAAAAGTACCTAGATAATGGCATATATTTTCCATATGGCAAACCACAGAAAGAAAACATAAGTCTAAACAGTTGATATCATGTTCTACCCTGCCTCCTCATCCCTATTCCTTCTTTACAGATTAAAAAAGAAAAAAAAAAGGAAAAGAAGAAGTTTTGCCTTAGTTTTAGTTCTTCAGACACCAAAAGGCCAGAAGAAATGATGTAAACAGAACTTCAAGTAAGACCTCTGCAACTGTCAGTGCAAGTCTGCACTCACACAACACAAATGTCACAGCAGCCAAAGGAAATCAAGCCTGGAGGCAGAAAGATTCAATCAAGGGATGTTATTTCACACAATTTGAATAAACCACTTTTAATTGCATCATCAGTCTAATTACTTCCATGGTTTCTGCCACAACAATCCCCACCACAACAACTACACAAGCAAGTTGCATGACTTCACATCAGAATGACACCAAATCAAACTAAAATGCATGGGAGAAGAAGGAAAAGGCCAGTTTTTCAGTCTGGTTCATCACAGAGTCTGTAGATGAAGAGCACGGGCATTACAGAGAAAAGAACATGGAAACGATAGGTGCAGAAAAGCTAAACAGGCCTCCATCAAAACTACTGCAGGACATGACTCTAAAGCTTAGATAACTAAAAAAAGACAAATCATAGTTCTTGGTGTCAGCAAGATTATTTCCTTGGTAGTCAGCAGAAGGGTATTTTCAGAATGTCTATGTGGCTCTGGTAGTTGGGAACTGGCTTAAGATGACTCCACCCCTGGAAAGCCACCCAGTAACTAGGAGACAGCGCTGCATGTTAACTCTTTCCCCAGATGGCTCCCAGATGCCAGAGTGAGGGCAGCACGCTATGCTAGGGCCACCTCTTCTGCATGCAGAACCAAGACAATCCTCCAGAAGAAGGTATCCAAGTGATCAAAGTTCTCAGCTTTTACTGTGGTGTTGGTGAAGCAGCTGCCCTGTGGGAGTGCTGCTTACATTGTGGGTAACAGCCTGGGAACACCAGCACAAAAAAGTGGGAGATCCAGGTCTATTGCCTTCTATCTCCCTGATGAAATTAAAATTCTTCAGACAACATACTAATCACTAGAACCACAGAAGAGTCTAAGAAGATATATGATACATCCTTCAAATCATACTGGAGAATCAGGGTGCACATTCATCTCAGAACTGAAGAGTTATGAGGCCTAAGAGAATATGACTGACTTAGCAGTTTCATAATTCTTCTGCAGTCAGAATTTCTGGTCTTTGCCAAGGTTATTTAAAATTATCAATCTTTTTATGGTGTTCAGTTTATTGGACAAGGATGGAATCAAAGTCAAAACAGTACCCTCCACTTTCCTAATTGTTCTGACATGGTAATCAGCTACATCTAAACAGTAAAAAAATTAAGGCACTAAATGAGCCTACACACTTAACACACTTTACAACTTTGCTTTCTCAAATCTTCCCCTGAACATAAAGAGTATTAGCTCTTAAATCCCCTTCATGCAGGAAGGACTGGAATAACAAAGCATTCAGAGAGACAGTATTACAATGAAGAGAGAGTTATAATAGTTTCAGCCACTCAGAGTTTAAATCAATAAAAACTTCCCTTTGCAGGATGAAAAACATCTTAAATGCTTGCGCAAAACAACACAACAAATCTGGAAAACAGCAGCATGAACGACCATTTTTAACAACTATCTGCAGGAGAACAGGAGTGCAAAAAAGAACAGGGAAGGTTTGAGCTATGAAAAAGAGGAAATGAACTAAATACTCTTTGCATTAATACAAGTAAACAGAATTTCCAAGAAATGCCAATGCCTTGGAATACATATACACAAAATAATGAGGTAACAAACACTCAATGTCTCTTAACTAACTTCAAATGTATTTTTCACTGCTGTTCACCATCACAGCCATTCAAAGACTGCTGTTACAGAAGCAGGGTACACCATTTCCACTAGGCAGCTAAATTCTAGTACTTGGCATAGTAATTTTTTGAAACAAATACCCATAATTAATGGCTGCAATCAGAAAACAGGTTCTCCAGAAACATTTGTACAAACTCCACATGCAACATTTATATAAGCTGTGAAAACAAACCCTGGACCACCTTCAAGAAAAAGTGTTTGACACAGCACTACAAAGCTACCATGGTAATGTCCAACTGCCAGGTCTAATTGCATTTCATCAACAAATTCCAAAATGGATTTGAAAATCTACTGCTTAATTACCATTTCCCCCACTGAGAGTGCAGGATTTTTTGACAGTAATTCCTCACAATTAGAGGCTCCACAGGTCTGCTGTAAATGAATTTCACCCAGTGGTCTATGTACAAGACTTGAGGCCACAACCATGAGTTCACACCCAAAATGCAATGGGAGAAACTAGAAGGGCACAGGATAGGGAGTTTCCACTTGCAAGAAACAGGATGAAGCAAATAGATTAACACTACCATGAACATCACAAATTAAACACTTCTGCTTTTGAACTCTCAGGTCAAGAATGTCTTCCTGCTGCCATCACTATAAATACAGCAAATATTAAACACGTTACCTTTATTATTTGCAGCTGAACCCCTTCGTCTGTTTGAGGGCCTTGAAAACAGCCACATATTGTCTCGATAATTCTATCAATTAGTTTTTTTCCTGGAGCTGTACTGTCTGGAGCATTACCTGTCAAGTGCCCATATGCTATAAGTTTCTGGAGAGAAGAAAAAAATCCATGTAAATACGAGCTTTAAAAGATTAAGCCAGCTTTTTTTTTATAATAAAAAAATCACTTGACAGCTCTAACTTGCACAGAATAATTAAAACAGTATCTTTTACCCCATGTATCATAAAACACCAAGGATTTTTTTACATATCTTCTGGATGTATTCCTTTTTCACTCAGCAACTGCTACACAAAGTTTGTCAGCAATATTAACATTAAAGATTTTGCTCAACAGTTAATATTTTAACACAAATAGGATTCTAAAAACTAACAACACAGAAGTCCTCATATGTAGTCAGCACACAAATGTGTTTTTTATACCAGATAAACGACCTGCAAATGCTTTCTATTTGAGCTACTAGAGTTTTATTTTTAGCATTTCTTCTGGTTTTACATGTTTTATTATCCTTTGCTTTCCCTAGGTCTTCAATACTTAGAAGTGGAACTTAGTACAAAACTAGTAAAATCCTCTTCTGAACACTTTAGGCACAAGAGTATCTGTAAAATCCCCATGCCACACAGAACAGTATGTATCTACGTATGAGAGCAGGCCAGGCACACATGTGCCTGTGACTGTGAACTGAGCTCACTATTGAGCTGAGCTGGAGGAGTGAATGGCTAAACACAATGCTGCAGAATTTCTTCTGGAAACATTACAGGAGCCTCAAGAGTTTTGAGAGACTAGACATCTCAAATTCAAAACATTTTATTGCAATTATAAATAGCATAAAATGAATTTGCTAATGTTAGACTCGCTGTGTTAGCTCAACACACATTTAATCACATGGAAATAGGTGGCTGTATATAATAACCCAAACGGTGGTAAAACATACATACTCAAAGAAACACACACATACACTACATAATAAATAAGGCATATGTTCATCTTTTGTGAGAAAGACATTCTATTTGGTTGTAGAGCAATCAAGTAAAATCATAAAAGCCACATGACATTATTTATTACATATAACTGTACTCCCCCTCCAAAGCCACAGGATTTTACAGTTGATAGCTAACACTCATCTTCATACAGACCTGTAAACAGTCTAGAGATGTACTGACAATCCTGGGGCACTTGGACTGGCATGCCAATTCAAATGGTAGGAAGTATTTGTCTGCTTCAATGAAACTTGTCTTTGATTTCACAGGTGGAAGAGTGCTGGAACCAGACTTTGCTTCTCCGTGAGGGGGACTAAACAGAATGTCTGTATTAGAATACCGTAATGTGATCACAGAAATCGTTCTCACCACCACAACGCTTATGAATAAATTATAATAAATATTTATGAATAAAGAAAATATTAAAATATCAAGAAAATTAACCTTAGGAAGAATAACTTCTAGCAATAGTAATATGTAAAGTATTCTTAACACCTTTTATACCTCATGGCTCCTTCATGAACCAGGCAAACTGACCCACTTGCACACTAAAGGGATATCCAGTGGTACCTGCTGGTTTGGAAACAGAAAGACTTGCTTCCTCTCAAATACCAAAAGACTCCCCACACTAGACAAAAGCAACAAACTACCAGAATAAAATGAGATGAACCTTTATCTTAACCTCTCCTTCAGGTAACACCACATAATTTAAGCTGAGTGGCTACCGACATATCTCACCTGGGTAATCATCTGAAATGATTAACTGTACAAAAGCAAGAAAATTATGAGCTGTTGAAGTTTTATTGATTACAGCACCTTTAGAAAGGTCCTCCTCATTAATATTTACCAAAAAAGGATAATTAGGAATGGGTCATTCTTTGAGTGCATCAATGCAGTTTGACTTTGGCTCAAAGCAAGATGTTCAGATTTTTCATTTCACAGAATAACTCATCACATTTATATAAAGCATTCCCAACCTTTTTTGTACATACATAGGTATTTTTAGATAAAAGTTAAACTACACTGTCTTACACAGGCTTGAAAAGCAGTATAAAAAAAAGTGCAAAATGTCATATTCTGTAGTGAAAGCTTATAGAATTCTTGCAGTAATTCAAACAGATCTTGGTATAACAACTCCATTCAAATACCGCTCCTATGCATGTTGCTAATTAAAACAGATGCTTCAAGGAATGCATTCAATTTCATGTTTCCAAAATGAACCGCTAACAGTTTATTATAAATCCAAAGCATGATTGCAGTCCCACACATCATGGAGTGGGCCTTAAACTAATCAATATAAATTAGTGTCAGCTTTTCAAGATTTTCTGGATTGTCTTGAAATGATATCACATGGAAACAGATCTTGTTTAGGATGCTTAAAAAGGGCATCCAAATTCTAAGTCTTAAGAGTAAGTAACTAGTATTAAGATGCTACTTTTTATTGTCTACATCTCTTTTGAAGGTTTAAGAATTTATCCCTACATATTTTTTACCTGAAGAAAAGCAGAGGTTTGTTTTTTTGTTGGATGCATAAGTTTATTTACTGCCCTGTATTGTTTTGCTGGAAACAGAGTTCTTTTGAACAACACCCTAATTAGATAAGTTGCAGAGGAAGTACATTATCCTTTTATGTTCTTGAATCTCTCTGATACTCCTATAAAAGCTTTACTCTGAGGAATGAAAGGGCAGTAATCTGTTCCTTATGTCTTATGACAAGATTGTTCCTCATCTAGTGATTATGTCCACTGAAACCATTAAAATGAAGTTAAAAAGAGCACTCTGGAAATAAACCCAGAATTATTCAAAACAAAGAGCAGGCCACGGTGAGATTCCGAAAATGAAGAACCCATGCCACAGCAAACTACTACATAAGCCTGGAGCATCTCTTAATTAGAAGTTATTTTAAAATGGGCAAGATATTAAATATGGAAGATGATACACATTTGTCTCTGGAAAAGCAACTCAGTAAGCTCATCCACACTGCTGATAAGGTAATGGAAGGGGACAGCAGGGAGAGGAGGAGAGAAACTCAAAAGCACTTTTCATCTTAATGTCAGTGAATTGCTTCTAAACCTAGAAACTATCCACAAAACTTTCTTCCATGAAGGCATCTACAAAGCATGGAATTATTAAATATGCTGATATTTATGTATTAGCCATAGAGAAAGGCTAAGGCACTTATCAAATAATGGATTTGGAAAATAATTTTGGCAGCATTTGCTGCATAATGGTTACATAAATCAGCTTGTACTTTTCTATTCCCTTCCCCTCCACCCAACTACCAAATACCAGTTCTGTTTCAAAAACAAAGAGCAGAACAAAAGGAGCTGTTTTCCATGCAAAATTTCTGGAAAGTGGAAATGATCTATTCTTCAGTTCATTCCAGGTTAACTGACATCAGTTACCTTGATCAAGGACTGGAAAAATTTAAGGACTGATCATTAGAAATCTCTTATTAGGGTAATTGAATCTCAATAACAGAAGTAAGAACCTGAAAATAATTTAATAGACTCAGAAGTTTCTCTATTCTAGGGCCAAGAAAAACATTATTTTCTACTGCACCTCAACAATTTGACTCTACAGTAAGAACAGAAAAGTCCATACACAATTTCCAAGTCCAGCAAAGCCTTCACAGCAGCAAAAGGCTACTGTCAAAATAAAGACAGGACCAAAGAAAAAAAATCTATTTAGAAAATGCCTATAGGCATTCTACCCTCAAAAAAATCACAACTTCAGATATTGATAGAGCAGAAATTATGCACCTGAAGTTCAGAAATGGCTCAACCACATTTATACAAAATGATTTTACTTCTGTGGTCTCATCAGTTTTATCATGTTATTTAACTACAGGATAGGACTTTTCCTTATTCAGTGCCCAGAATAAACATCTCTCACTGAATATTTAACATAAAGTGTTTTTTCTTATCATGCTTCACAATGTGGATTTCTGCTTTACTTACACCACTCCAAGAAAAACCCATTAGAAATTCACATTATTACTTTCTGTCTGAGACAATCTTGTAGCGCTGGATACAACATTTTCTAAACACTACATAAATAATAAATTTATTTTTACAATCTTACTGTGAGCTCACTGACTTAATTTTGCTGGTGGAAAGCAATGCACAATTTCAATAGGATGCACCCACTAAGTTTATGTGCCCAATTCTATAAGCTGCAAGACTAAACTTTTCAACATATTTGATATTAAATTTTCCTTTACATCTTCTGAAACAAAGATCCCACTGACTTTATTCCACTAGAAGTGATTGTATTTTCCAAACCAAAATTGTAAATTTCTACTCAAATATCCAGGAGACGAAGCAGAAATCATTAGCATCTTTGACAGCTGTGGTTTAAATGATCTGCCCAATACTGAAATCCAGTTACAGGGCAGAACAGAGATCCGCATGCAGCACCCAGCTGCCTAAGAACACTTTCATCCTCAGTTTCACCACTGATCCAATTCTTTCAACAAGTGGTATGAGCAGTCTTCACCACATGGCCCTGACTCAGAGCTAGGAATGTACACTGGATGAGGAAGACAATCCCATGGAACATGTAATGAAATACCATTAACAGATCTCACAGCTTTTCAATACTTAAAGGTTGACAGCAAAAGACTGCTTAATATAAATTTTTTGGTTTTACCTTCACTTGTAGAACTGCCTTCACAAATCCACACCTATTCCCTGTCCTTTCCAGACACTATCTATGCCAGTTACATTACTTTTCTCTCCTCATTCCCACCTCCTCACCCCAGTCTCCTCCCCTTAATTACTCACTTCAAGTCTTACCTACGTCCCTCCCTCTTCTCTGAATTGACTTCAAGGCTTTTCCACTAATACACTGAAAGAAATTTCTGTGCTGTTCACAAAGATCTTTTCCAACGTTGAACCCTATTTCCAATGCTCCCTGGCCAGACAGTACCACCCTGCTCCCTCTAACCTACCTTCTGCTGCTTCTCCCAAACCCTGTGCCTTGCACTGTAACAGCTGGTCACATAAAGCAGCCCTTTGTACATTTCCAGATACCAACCACCACCCAAAATATGGTGAAAATGCTTTTCAGAGAGAGCTCATACTCCCCATGCAGAATAAGTATGGTACAAATTTTATGTTAAAAGCACTATCACTTAATACAAAGAACTATCACATACCTTTGCTTTTCTGTTTCAGCCTTTATTTCCTCTGCAAAATGAAACAAAGATACAGTTATAGAAATGGTATCATATGCACGTATATAAAATTAAATAACCGAAAACTACTGGAAAGCAAAACTATTTAGGCAAACATTTGAAACCAGGATTATTATAAAACAGAAAATACATGTTTACAGTTTTGGAAATACCTCTACTCTCCACCTGCATTGATTGCAAACTGTATCATAATTACTTTGCAAATCTATATTCAAAACTGGATGCTTAAATTTGCATCCAGTCATGCCAACTAAACATCATGTCCCTGGAATGCTTCTGTGAAGACACTGGCCAGCTCTTTTCACAGCTGATGTATATAGAAATAGTAAGGAAAACACAAATATCACTTAACTATTAATTTACTCATAAAGAATATAAAATATATACTGCTTGATAAATACGGATTATACAGAAACACAAACAATCCATCACTGCTAGTTCTTATGTGAAATCTGAATGACCAATAATCATCCCTGTTTTTAAACAGTGTTAGATATCACAGTAATGAGTAAGGGAGAGAAAAAAAGTCTGTAGTGCCCTATTTCATACTATTTTAAAATATAACAGAAGGATGACTAGTTGAATGCTTTTGGCAAACATTTTCAGCAATTTTTTTAACAATACATTTTCAAAATAATTTTAAATTACTGGAACTAATTTTAGGAAACATCTTTGATTCAAGACTAGTCTTGTCTATTCTCTAGTTATTTTGAATGCTTAAATCATAGGAAATTTCACAAAGCCTAGATTTCCCAGTGCTGAAGCAATACACACTTGAAATAAACTTTACAGGATCAAGAACAAATGTGAGTGTTTTTTAAGAAATCTCAGGAGATCTATTCCAGTATCAAGTCCTGCTCAAACATACAAAACCCTAATCAACTAAACCAAAGACTTTACTGTAATTTTTATGTATAGGCCTTGAACGAGTATCATGGATTGATTCTGACAAAAAAACACACCAACTTAACCTTCTAACCAAGCTCCAATGCAGCAAAAGCACACTTTATCTGCACCATGTCCTTCATTTACCTTTTCACATGGTCATATTGATTCACTTACCTAACAGGTTCTCATGCTTGACATTTTAGCACAAATCACTAGTAGGAAATATGTTTACTAACTGATTTTCCCAATATTGAGAAAACTGAACTTATGAAATGCACATCACCTCAAAATCTGTATTGTACTTCTGGTAAGACTGATGTTCATATTCACCCCCAGTAAGCCCCAGAGGTTAGCAGGTCAGTGGGTCATCCCAGAAAAAGCTACTCCAGAAGCTGATCAAATCTGGGCTACCCAGGACTAGACAAAACATGAAAATAATTCCATATCCTAGACACCAAGTGTCTTACCAACAGTAGCAAGACTCATGGTCAGCTATGTTTCAGTAAACTACACCTTCCTCCCAGATTATGACATTATGACTTTTACTCACTTGAAGACAAATTCATGACCAACAGAAAGGAAAAGAAACTCTCTTCTTCCCTTCCAGAATCTTCATACCTTCCATTATTTTACCTCTCACCTTAGCATTCATACCCAGGAACTCTGTTCCCTAAGATCACTCTGAAGTCTGTCCATCGAGCAAAATTATCAATCAACAGATAAAACTGAACGACTTGCAAGTTTAAAGTTTCCAACAAAACTGACCAGAGGTAAAATGTTATAGAAGTGTCAATCTAATTAAATTTTACTACTATTTCAAGCAGCATTGCCTAAGTCTATTAATGTGGAACCACTGATTTTATAACCTTTGTTAAATAAAAAGAAAGGTTCCTACAGTGGCTGACATAAATTATTTTTACAAGACTAAAATATTTGTAATTGCAGAGAAGCATGACATGATACTATTAGTATGAATGAGGTAAAACAGCAGACTTGAACTTTACTTTTACCCTTGAGAATAGAGAAAACCTAATTTCTTTCACTGTCTGATTGCTCCCTCTGCTCTCAATGCCAGAACACAAGTTAATCAGAGTACAATTTCATGGTCATGTATCAAGCACATCCAGTAGGAAGCACACAAAAATTCAAGAAGCATTATCAGCAGAAAACCAGATTGTAATAAGGGTAGCTAACAATTCTCATGCTAGATAAATAATCTGTTAAAGACAAATGAAGCAGAACACTTACTCATGCATTCTTTTAAATGGGAAAAAGTAAACCCCGCAGAACTAAAAATTGGCTAGAAAAGAAAGATGAAGCCAGGCTTGACAACATTCCTTAATTTGCTCTCCCTCTTTTCAAACACACAACCAAAACTACAACAGAGAGGATCTCAGAGCTGGAAAAGCTTATTATCTCAGAATCACCATTCATTCTGGAGGGAAGAAATAAAGAGGATGGGAAATGCTAAAACAGGGTATGAAAACTGTAAGGAAGGACAACAGCTTCCTCTGGATTATCTGTGATGTAAACAACAGAATTACTATGAAAAACAGCTCAGATTACTCTATGGCACTGAAATGATCATGTGCCCCAAAATGGAACTAACTGTAATTATTTAAAGTGCAGCAGAAATGACAAAATAAACTCCTTCCGAATTTCATGTTCACACACAGCTCCAGAAGACCTCTTTATAGAATTCCACGACCTCTACGACAGAATTAATGGAAATACATGAAGCTTTTGCACACCAAAGCTAGAACTGATCAAAGAGATATAATATTTTGCAGTTTTATAATGACATGCATCAACTGTTTCACCAAACAGGCATAATGAGTCATGTACATGAGTTTCAACACCATTTTCCATTTCATCTACACTTCTACAGACCATCATAATTTCAAAGAAATCTCTGAAAACATCTAAGACCTTTGTTGTTGGTTTTCGCTGGGTTTGAGCTAATTTTCTTCACAGTAGGTTGTATATGGTGCTGTGTTTTGGATTAGTGCTGGAAACACTGTTGGTAATCCAGGAATGTTTTAGTTACTGCTGAGCAGCACTTACAGAGTCAAGGCTTTTTTTCAGTTTCTTACTCCACCCCACCAGTGAGTAAGCTGGGGATACCCACTGAGTTGGGAGAGGACAGTCACAACTGCCAATCCCTACAGATCTCAACGGTATTCTATTTCCCAGGGTGTCATGCTCAGAAATAAAAAACTGGGGCAGCAGGGTGTGTGTGTGTGCAGTTTGCCTGTTGCTACTTGGGGACTGGCTAAGACTGGTCATCTGGTGGTCAACTACTGCATTTTTTTTGCATCATAAATTTCTTTGGTTTGATTTTCACTATCATTTCTCCTTACTTTCTTTTTTTTATTTTTTTTTCTTTTAATTAACCTGTTTTTACCTCAACCCAAAGTTTTTGAACTTTTATCCTTCCAGCTCTCTCTCTGACACAAGGCAGTGAGCGGCTGTGTAGGGCCTAGGTGCTGGCCAGAGATAAACCACCACAGGCATCCATAATTTCATTCTCACCTCTCTAGCTTGAATTCACTACTTTTAACATGTCATTTGAACACTTTTCCTTACTATCTTCAGACGGCTTATAGTTTTTAGCATTAAAAAAATATCTAGTTCCCAGTTCTCTCTTCCTTTAACACCTTATAACCAGTTAATTTCATGTATAACTATAAAATCAACTAATTTCACTGTAATGACAGTAACACTAAACAGCAACATCAAAACGGCCAAATAGGTCGAGTAGGTGCTGTGGGCAATACTGGATTATAACACTGAACAAAACTCCAATTTAAGAATAATTGACTGTTTACCCTTGTGTATCCAATTCAAAGTATGATTTAAACATTAACAACATCGAAGGGCATCTCTAATAACCTAAATTTCAAATGGGTATCTTTAGGTATTACTTCCTTCTGGTTACCTAAATATGCTGTCATACTAAGTGAAGCAGAAATATTCTAGAGTTGTACTTTGGCAGAAGTCAAGGATAACATTCTCATCAAGTAAGGAATAACTAAACTGTTACCTTTAGGAACGCTACACAGAGCTAAGTTCTATGATGTCAACATCAAAGTGTACAATTAGATTACAGGAAAAAAAATTCTTATGGAACTTGCTACTGGGAAAAATGCAAACTATTTGCCATAAAGCAGAAAAATACAAGTTCATTACAAAATATGATGCTAGGTAAACCTCATACATTTAAAGGTATTTGATACAGCGCTCATTCTGTTTTTCCATTCTTGCATCAGAATTTTATTCAAAAACAAATACATATTACATTCCCATAATACCTTATTCTAAACAACTGACGTTACCTGCCAAAAAAGCACATGCATAATTCTTAATTGCACAAGGATCTGCACATCTAAAGCCTAATACTCACTGTAAGCATCAGAATAAAAGCTTATTAAATATATAATGAATTCAAGACTATCTAGACAGTAACTATCTTGGGTAATCAGAAGGTAGAACTATCCGAAGCAGCACAGGCTGCAATAATTCAAGGAAACGAGTTCAATGTTTGGAGTTCACATGATACACCATAGAAGACTAGTGTGACAAGGAAGCAATTTACATTCAATTCTTTCAAGTCAAATCAGGTGGATAAGATCTAAGGAACAAGCAGAGAAGATGAATTTAAATTACATCACTATCTATATTACAAAAAAAGCTGAAATCAAATTAAAACATTAAAGCTTTTGAATTGACTTTGCTTGCATTTTTCCATCCAAGTATTCTAGTGAGTGTGTCCAATATCATACAAAATATTATGGCAACTAAATGATTAAAAGACCCCACATTTTCCCTCTTAACAATACTGACAATGTCCTTCTCCATGTCAAGGTATACAAAAACTCTGTAATACAAAACTAGAAATCCTGCATTTATTTGAAGATAACTTTAATTAACTACCTTCCAACTATGTAATAAGATTATTACACATACGGTAGCAGTTTAATCAAAAAAAAGTACCAAGTTTGAACTTACAGTACTAAAGCCATATAAATCTGAGAGGAATAAAAAACCCAATTTCTCCGTCAATGAGATGAAATTCTAAATAGATCATGCTGAGTACATTCTTCC